CCGGAGGAGAAGGCGGGAGCCCGGCGCCGGGCGCAGGAGCACACTTGCTTTTGGGTGGGGAGAGGAGGGACGGGACTTCCTACTGCAAGGTGTGGGAGCCGAGGGATCTGCCTGCAGGCAGCGGCTTTCAGCCGGCTGGTGTCTCATCTTGCTCTCACTCCCTCGATTTCAGCATCCAGAAATTCAGATACAATCCGTCCTTTTCCTCCGCCCGCTCTCCCCAGCCCGCGCTCTCCTCTTACACCTGCGGAACTGGGTAAGAGGCGCAGGCAGCCAGGCCGCACATGTTCTTGCCGCGTTCAATAAGGAAGTACCTGAGGAGAGACAGACACGTGTACGAGCGAGCGTTCCCTTCTCGGTGGAGTCAGCACGACAGCCAGGGGGGTGTGAGGCAGCTGCTCCCATGAGGTCCGAGCCCCCTTCCCCTGCCAGCACCGGGAGCAAACGCCTGTGACGGAGCCGTGAGCACCGGCAGGGAGCCGGGCCGTGCTGCTCCCCGTCCCCCTCACACCACACACCAGCAGAGTCAGCTCCTGACTCCACAAAATCCTACTTGCAGCTGGAAATCCTTGTGGAGCCAGCGTGAACGCTCGCTCCCGGCACAACCCGTTCCCAGCAGAGGCAGGGTGCTCTCCCGGCACCAGCCAAGCCAGCGCCACGGCAGCTCTGCACACGCTGGCCCAGCGCCCGGTGACAACGGCGGGTCTGTGATCCAAGGGGCCGCCCTGAGCAGTCGCCCCAGGACGGGTTTCGAGGCCGGGATGATTTCCCCTGCCTCTTCCCAGAGCATGAACTAAGTGAAATTCCAGCTGGAGAGCGTAAGGGTGACCCGGGGGCTGGGACGGGTGGAATCCCACGGCCTCGTGGTGGGTCCGGCAGCGCTGGGACCTCCTTACCCATCCATGCCCCACAGCGGGCCCCAGGAGTTCTTCACGATCCAGTACGGAGTCCCGTTTTCTTCCCCGTACCCCACGGCGAGGACGGCGTGGTTCACCTTGTCAGGAGTGTGCTCACACCGCGGGCTGCAAAGACGAGGGAAAAATGATGCACATTTGTTACACGGAAAACCAGCCGATGGTGATCGTGGATCAGCCGGCCTTCTCGATTGCACCGCAGAAAGAACTACTGGACGCTCTGAACTTCCAGCTGTGGCGAGCCGGGAGGGAGGCCAAGGAGACACGGCTGTTTTCTCACTCAGCAGTCGTTACCAGCCATGTCTGAAGTCAGCGTGATCAGCCACACGGACCTTTGAGCTCAGCACCCGTCAGCCTTGTCACACAAGAACGAGCCACCACGAAAAAAACGAGCAAAGGAATTTTTCCAGTCGAACCCAGAAGCTCTTAGTGCATCCCTGTAACGGCTTGTTCTGCCCCAAAGTTCAGGGGCACCGTTCTGCATGTTGCACAGGGAACAGCTGCCTCCTCGGTCTAAGTACCCATTTCCTTGTTTTTCCTCCGAATTTCCAGCTTTTAAACTGCACTCGATGAGAGTTGTGACACAGGACAAGACAGCACAAGGTACAAACTCCCGTATCTAGAGCACCTATTTTAAACATTTCCCAATTGCAGATAACGAAAAGATCAATAATCCCCACCACAGATTGACTTTTCTTGAATCTGGGGAGCACAGGCTGAATCCACTGCAGCACCCGTTACTCCACTTGCTCTGACTTAGACTATGAATCTGCCAGATAACTTGGTGCATTCTCCCAACTGGAATCCTGTTCCAGAGCATCTTGACGGTCTCACCTGCTTTCACACCTTACACATCTGCCTGGTGCTTGCCTTAAACCTCGACATTGCTGTCTGTCTTGCAACAGCAAAGCC